GGCCCGCAGGGGTGGCGGTGCGAGCCCGGTGCAGGGCTGGGGACACCCCGGTTTAACGCTGAGCCGGGCAGGTGTCGGAGCAGCTGGACGTTTTGGGCCCAAAGCTTTGCGTTGCGGGAAATCCTCGTGGAAAAAAGGCGGCTCTGGGTGCAGAAGGTGGGGTGAGGCACGAGGCGTGTGTCCTGTCGCGATCGGGCTGTATCGCGACCGCCACGGTTGTTTTGCCTCACCGCTGCCATGGGTGCAAACAATCCAAGGAGAAAACTCTGCGAGAGGCGTGTGAAGGGAGGGGAAGGTGCCGGGTTATCTGCAGAGATTAGACCCGGTGCTTCTCGCTCAGCAGCCCTGGGGGAAACACCGTCGGATGCCCTGTACTGGTGGAGGGCTAGCGTTCCCAGTCGCCAAGCCACTCCTTCCCAGTGGCCGCGACAGGGCCTTGGCAGTTGGCTGAGTGATCAGCAAGTTCTTGGCAAGTGATCTTTGCACTGGCACTCTCTTGCCATGGACCTGAAAAAGCAAATTCACCCTTACTCAGGAAGAAAGAGTTGGTGAAAAGCTGCTGTTGGCACCCAGTTCTCTTTCGGAACGGTACATGGGGAGCCTAAAATGGGTTAATCAGGGAAATGCTGCAAATGCCCTAGTGCTGTTTATGAAATCAACGGTATTGTCCATGCCTGAAGCATTTTCCCACTGTTTAGTCTCCTGAGCACAGCTCCAACCAGGCTTCCAGGCCTTGCAGGGACCTAGTGAAACGGGAACCACTGCCAGTTCACGTGCTGTTTGCTGAGATGTGAATTCTTTTTGTGCACTTGAGGCTGTGTCTTTTGTCATGTACTTTTAAGCTAAAATATCTCCTTCACATCGGTGCGGTTTTGGAGCCTGCACAAGTCCCGTCAATTAAACAGCCTGCTCAGGTGTCATCAAACAGCTAACGTTCGTACCGATTCCACCAGGGTCTGGCTCTACGGCTTAGCGCTGCTTTGCTTTTTTCACTGCAGATTTTCATAAATAACGAGTGGCACGATGCAGTCAGTAAGAAAACCTTCCCTTCTATCAATCCAGCGACAGGAGAAGTTATCTGTCAGGTTGCTGAGGGCGATAAGGTAAGCGCTCTCTGGAGATGGGTTTGTTTTCCGCGTGAGCAGGTACGCAGGGACTGCAGAGGAAGGCACTAACTCATCTCTCACCTCGGCAGCTCCGAGTTTGACCTCAGAGCAGTGTTTGACCTACACAAATATTACATCAAGTGCTGCTTGTATTCTTCCTTGGCTGCTGCTTTCAACAAAACCCTCTGGCTTTGTCTCCTAGCGTTGGCAAGCCAGGACTGTAAAGGGCGGAGAGGAACAGATGTGATGTGCAGTGGAGCCTGGGTTGAGAGGCTGGGGAGCACTGGTGGGTGGAGGTTGCTGGGGCAGGCAGGGGTGAGGTCCTTTGCGGTCCCGTGGGTGCTGTGCTGGTGGTGTGACCCAGAGTCAGAGGAGAAAAAAGGTCAGGATTCACCTGAACAGCCCCTTTCTGCTGTATGCGTGTGGTGGGAGACTGTCCCCAGCCCTAGGAAATCAAAAAAAGAAAAAGAAAGAGCAGTGGTGGGGAATAGAGCCATGTAATCATCCCGTGCCTTGTGCAAGGCCCTCCTAGGAGTCTGTGGCAGAGCTGAGGAGGTGTTTCCCAGCAATTTTGGGTTCTTCCTACAGTCTGGAAGCTTGTTTGTATTCCCCAAGGGAGGGGTGAGTGAGGGAACCCTTTGTTGTCTGCGTGGCCGTGATAGACTGGCTTGTCCTGGCGAGACCAGTACAGCAAGTCAGAACAGAGAACCAGCTACAAACCTGGTAATGCTCTGACGGGACAGAATGATGGATTAGGGATATTTGATCAAGGGAAAAACTCCTTTAGGCTGTGCTGGTGAAATCAAATCCTGAAAAAGTGTCAAAAGCACACTTCTGGAGCTTTTTTCATGCCTTCTAGGATGCAAATATTAACCCAGCAGACGACATAGCGGAAATAACTTGACAATATTTGCACTCAGCATAGCCGAAATAACAGAGTGTGAGTGCAGGCAGAGGTGATGGCTGCACCCCTCTGTTTCACTGCCACTTCTGCTCCCTCTTCCCGAGGCTGCAGACGGGGCGAGAAAGCCACGGCCGGTCCAGCAGCAGCGTTGGTGCCAAGGCTGTGCTGCTGTGCAGCGCGGCCCAGGTCGATGCTGGTGGGGCCAGTGGCCCAGGGGCCACAGCCCACGCGCTCCCCTGCCCTGGGACCGCTGAGCGTCTTGCAGTGAGGCAGCTGTCAAGGCTGCGAGTTCTTGCCTCCCAAAAAGGCTGGCGCTTGCAGCCCCCGTGCCGGCTGGCTGGGGGGTGTTTTCTCTTGGAGACCAGGGAGGGCTTCAGCTGTGTTTTGAGGGAGTGAGCGGGGGCCGGTTCGTCCTTCCTCACCCTCTTGCCTGGACTCCTCCGCAGGCAGATGTGGACAAGGCCGTTAAGGCAGCCAAGGCAGCTTTCCAGCTGGGCTCGCCTTGGAGGAGGATGGATGCTTCTCATCGGGGGAAGCTGCTGAATCGTCTGGCTGACCTGATCGAGAGGGACCGGGCTTACCTGGCGGTGCGTATCGTGCTCTGAGGCTGAGCTCTCTGCTGCGATCCCTAACTGTTTCTGGGGGCAGAAATGGGTGGTTGGTGCCATCAGATGGGATGGAGATGCTAGCCACAGCTAAGACTGTGAGAGAGAGCGACAAAGGGTGGGGAAGTAGTTCTGGGAAGCCGAAAGCGAAAAGGCCAACGGGCAGAACTGATCTGAATTGCAAACTGAGGATCCAGTCTAAATCTACAAGCGGTGACTTTCCCCACCTCACTCTTCAGGCAGTCTCATTGTCTTTTGTAGGCGCTGGAGACTCTGGATAATGGGAAACCGTACTCCATCTCCTACCTGGTGGATTTGGACATGGTAGTCAAATGTCTCAGGTAGGCATGGAGGCTACAGTGGCAGCGCAGTAACTCTTTGTGCTCCACGCTTGTGCTCTGCTGGCCCGGGGTGGTTGAACCTCTGCTTGTGCAGAGACCAGATGCCTGTGATTTGAGTGTTGTGGGTGACAGGGCTGGATGGGACCTGTTGGTCTCATTTGGACCATAGCAGGGCATCAGGCACCCTGTTTTCCTCTATTCATATTTTTTGTTAAGAATGACTTAAGAATTCCAAAGAATTTTTGTTACATCTCTCTCTCTCTCGCTGTATGCAGGACTCACACTAGCGGAGGTGATCTGTGTCACAGCACAGGAACGACAGAATTTATGTTATGGAAGGGCGGGGAGACTAATATTTGTATTTACTGTCCATTCTTAAATCACCTGTTTGGGAAATATTTGTATTGGTGTGTGTTCTGTGAAGTGACTGAGGAAAGGAGGAAGGCAAATAGCTGGAGGAAGTCTGTCTTATTTCCTGGGGACAGGAGACTTGTTATTTTACATTCAGTGACCAAAACTGTGTTGTTGCTAGATACTTCGCAGGTTGGTCAGACAAATTCCATGGCAAAACCATCCCGTTAGACGGAGACTTCTTCTGTTATACAAGACATGAGCCTGTGGGAGTTTGTGGACAGATAATCCCGGTAAGTAAATGTATCAGTAGTTCCTGCAGCATTTCAAGAATTCAAGAATTCAGTTAAGAGTTGTCTTAAAATGCCACTTACAGTCTGTTGCTAACCACTGCTTCCTCCAGTGGTGAAGTAAGTTACGCTTGCACCAGCTTTGCTCCGGCCCTACAGAACCACTTGCTGATTCCATGGGCTCTGAGTAAGAAGTACTTTGTATCTGCTGAAAAAAAAATTAAAAATTAAACCCTTTTATAGGAGTTATCTGGCTCAGAACCATGATGAAGTTTAAACTACTAACATTAAAACCAAAATTCTGTGCACTGCGCTGTCATCACAAACAGGCCTCCAAAGAGCGTTTAACGGGTAAACGGACAGTAAAGATTAATTCCAAAAAAGTTAGAGTTTCCCAGTGGTACTGAGACCTCACCCTTTGGAGTACACTGCTCCTGGACAAGCAGGAGGCAGTGCTTGAAAAAGAGCCAAACGCTGAAGAGCAGCTAGAGAAGGATCAAAGACTGCTTCCGTCGGTTCTGCAGCTGATTTAATGAAGCTCACTGGTTACTTTTTGATTAATCAGAAACTTTCCAGTTCAGATCAGCAAATACCTCCTTGTTTTTCAGTGGAACTTCCCACTGTTGATGCAAGCATGGAAACTTGGCCCTGCCCTGGCTACTGGGAATGTGGTTGTGATGAAAGTGGCGGAGCAAACCCCCCTGAGTGCTCTTTACGTCGCTAATTTGATCAAAGAGGTGAGCGAAAAGGCTGGGTCTCCATCCACTGCCTCGCCGTCGCTGCTGGGGTGCGTTGTGAGCCAAACTGGTGAGCTGTGGGGGGCATGTGACAGGAACAGAGAAGGGCTGTCTGATCCGAAGAAAGGCTGGATTGTCTCAGATGTCTTAGCATTTGATTTAGCAAAAAAAAAACAACCTTGACCTTATAAATGTGTATGCAAAGGACATAAATCGTGATGAGGGAAGGACTCTGAGGTTCAGTTCAGTAACAAACTTCAGGGCAATTAAAAAGTTAACATATACAGCTCCAAACCGTGCTTCCGGTGTGGGGTGGGGAAAGGAGTCGTCCTGGTTATTGCAAACTGAGCATTAAACACGTGGGAAATGAAATGGAAGTGGCAAAGGCTCTGTTCCTCGTGGTGGCCTGCCGAAGCGTTCCTGACCGGCGAGGGTAAGTGAAACCCTTCGTTTGTAAAAGGAATAACGCTGCTCTCTCCTGGATTCCCACCAGGCTGGCTTCCCACCGGGTGTGGTGAACATCATCCCTGGCTATGGGACCACTGCAGGGGCTGCCATCTCTTCCCACATGGATGTAGATAAAGTGGCCTTCACCGGCTCCACGGAGGTAAGGGAGCATCTTGTCCTTTAATCCCTTGGGATAGAGAGAACATCTCATTGCTGTAATACCTTTTCAGTATAAAACGCTGGAGGTGCCTTCCCTTCTACGCTTCTTTTTAAAAAATACAGCTGACTTCAGGGTTGGTGTATATTTTTACTTTACCTAAGACTTGTCAGGTGCCTTCTTTAGCATATTTCCTGTTGTTTCCCGTGAGCTGCTTCTTGCCAGAGATGCAACTCTGGGCAGGCCTCAGTTGTTCCCTTAAAGCCCTGACAATGAGGGGATTATTATTAAACTGCTGCCTGAGATGTAAAGGTAGCCGCCCTGCCAGGTGTTGCTTTATGGAGGAGCTAATCCCTAATTCCCGTTCTTCCCATAATTCAGGTTGGACATCTGATCCAGAAGGCTGCAGCAGAGAGTAACCTAAAGAGGGTGACGCTGGAGCTTGGAGGAAAGAGTCCGAATATAATCATGTCTGATGCAGACAGTAAGCACCTGTTAGCGTAATATTTGACCCGTTCCTTTTACACCAGCCCTTACACCACCTGGTTGGTCTCACCCAGCGGGGTCTCCGTGCCTCCTGCTGTAGCTGCTGTGTTTGTGTATTGGCACTTCTTCACTCCCACTTTTTCCCAGTGCTGTGAAGAAGTTCAGATATTGAGGAAGGAGAATTGTTTCAGTATCTTCCTGCAGTCTTAGTTCCGTTTTTGTTTTAATTTCTTTCTCTTTCTTTTGGTACGTACAGCTCTTTTCTAGTCTTACGAAGTTCTAGTTCCCTCATCTCTTGCATGTGGACTCATTTTTGGTCTTGATGAGCCAACACGTGCTTTTAAGGAAGGAGATTCTTCTAGATCTAGAATAACTTGTCCTTAATACCCGATAATTTCAAATGAGAACTGTAATCAGCCTCAGATTAGATTTTTTTTCTCTAGTATGGGGTGCTTTAATAGACCATGATACTAATTAAACCTGTATGTAACTTCTGCCCTACCAAAGCATGGAACGTGCCTGTCAACTGAACGGACTTTGTCTCACCGGTACTCCCGCAGTCTGCATGATAATCGTTCCAAAGAAGTCACTGACTGACTCTGGTTGGTTTTCTGTGCTTATTTGTTTTCTCTCCTCTCCCCAATCTCAGTGGACTGGGCTGTGGATCAAGCCCATTTTGCCCTCTTCTTCAATCAAGGGCAGTGCTGCTGCGCTGGATCCCGAACATATGTCCAGGAAGACATATATCATGAGTTTGTGGAGAGGAGTGTTGAGAAGGCCAAGGCCAGGGTGGTGGGAAACCCCTTCGACTTTAAAACTGAACAGGGGCCTCAGGTAAGAGCAGGAAATGTCATCAGCTGTTATCTCACGAAATAGTCCCAATCTTGAGTCGTCCTGCATGGTTAGATTAGAACAAAAAGTATCCTTGGGTCTCTCGATTGAGCTCCTTTGAACTGTGCCCGTTATCTCCTTGCCTCTGCAGGAGGGAGAAGTTAATTAACCGTTCTGATTATTCCAAAACCTCCCCTTGACGCTGGCATTTAGGAATTATCATCACCCTTTGAAGCTGGCTCGGCAGTCTGTTGAAACGGGGAATTGCTGGAGCGTGGTCACATGCACAGCGGGTTGTAGTCGAATCCTTTTCACCCCCAGCTGATCTGCCTGTCCTCATGGCTCTTAGGTGGACGAGGAGCAGTTTAAGAAGATCCTCGGGTACATTAGTACTGGGAAGCGTGAAGGAGCCAAGCTGCTGTGCGGTGGCAACCCCGCTGCAGACAGAGGCTATTTCATCCAGCCGACTGTCTTTGGCGACGTGCAGGACACCATGACGATCGCCAGAGAGGAGGTGAGATCTGCAGCACCTTTCTGTCTGTCAGCTTCTCGCTTCTCTGTCGTTTTGCCCGCTCTGATGCAAAAAACCACAGGTCTGAAGGAATGATGCAAAAAACCACAGGTCTGAAGGAACCGGACATTGATGACCTGTGAAACGTGATGCTTCTGAAGTTCCCACATTAAACTTCCCTCCAGATTACATCCTGGGCACTTGGTAATACGGGAAATGATTCTTCGAATTCCATGTCCTGTGTGACTTCTACCACACATACATACAAACTGCAGCCTCCCTCATGATCAGTTTACACAGATTTCCCCATGCTCTGTTTGGATTTTGCAGATATTTGGGCCAGTCATGCAGATTCTGAAGTTCAAAACAATTGAGGAAGTCATTGAGAGAGCAAATGACTCCAAGTACGGCCTAGCAGCAGCAGTCTTCACAAAGGATCTCGACAAAGCAAACTACGTGTCCCAGAGCCTGCGAGCCGGAACAGTGTGGTGAGCCTCAACGCTTCCTTCTCCCCAAACTGCTGGCAGCTTCCCTGTGCTCTGCTGTTTCTCTTTAAGTTTGCTCTTTGATAGTCTCTGCTTTGGATCCAGTTTTACACGTACTTCGCTGAGTGGGATGTCATACCTTCGATTGTAACGCTAACTGTTGGGAAAATTTAGGTGTATTAAGCTTCCATGCTCCCGCTGTGAATTAATGGATGGGATGGGATGGGATGGGATGGGATGGGATGGGATGGGATGGGATGGGATGGGGGAAAAGAAACCCAGTCCTGCAGCTGGCAACGACAGCGACTGCTGCAGGACTCTGAGTGCCAGCGGTGATTAGATCACCGAGCACGTCTGGGCGGCCTTGGCTGCTGCAGAGGATGTTCCTCTGTATTCCCAGGCTGTGCCAGTCAGTACTTCAGCACCAGTTTACTGATCTAGCATGAGATTTTGGAGGTCCAGGGTTTCACTCTCTTTTTTTTTTTTTTATGGTACTGAGTGAACAAGTAGGTGCTTTGGATATCTGCCTTCTGAAGGAGGTGTGGGTTGCAACCTGGACGCCTGGTCCTGTGATAACGAGAGATGTGAATTGATTTCTGTTTCTTGGTTGATAAGGTTCCAGGATTGATTAATTCTGTCAGCTGAGAGAACTGACAAATGTGGAAATCTTGCCTAGAAATCCAGCTGTCCCTTTGTTGTAGACAGCTGAGGTGCCCACTTGCTGTGAAAAGGCTCTTCCATTAAGCAGTTCTGAACCTGCAGGTGCTTGACTCTTGGTTTCCATTTCAGGATCAACTGCTACGATGTGTTTGGTGCTCAAGCCCCGTTTGGCGGCTACAAAGCTTCTGGGAATGGGCGAGAGCTGGGAGAATATGGTCTGGAGGCATACGTGGAGGTGAAAAATGTGAGTATCCCTGTATCCAGGGTCTTCCCAACCCTCTGCTGTAGCTCCAAATTGTATTTGTGCCTGTTTGTATAGGCTGAACGGAGAGTTGCAAATTCTTCCTTCTAATGCTTGAAACAAATTTGGAGCTGCCCTTCTGAAGTAAGCGCAAACACAACTCCACGTAACTGTTTTAAACAGAAAGCTGGCCTTGCTTTACACCCCTGAGGAAAACAAGGGTATGCCACCTAATAGATTACCCAGTCCCTGCACCACTTGGCACCGTTTAGCTGTTTCTCCCTGTAAAGAATGCAAGTGTGTGGACTTCTCCGTGCATTTATTTTGTGGAGAACAGGAAGAGCATGTGCTGGCGGTGCATGCCTGATGGGTAGAAGCTTCTGCAGGTACGAACTGGCACGTAAACACTGGGTGCTCCTCACTCAAGAGGGGGAATCTGAGTAGTGACCACCAGTACTTAACGCTGCTCTCCTGAGGAAGACCCTGCCTTTGGGTCCACGTGCGAGACCGAGGTGCCGGTGTGAGGCAATCCCGTCACCGCAGGCTGAGCAGTTTCCTGTAAGACAAGGCAGAAGGGCTGTCACACAGGCTGCTTGCAGCTGCAGTGTCTGCAGGGTGACAGAAGTGGTTAGACCGTGGCCCTGGAGATGCAATACAGTGAAGTGCGTAACAGTTGGGAGCCTCCAGCTTGTGACTGGGAGGGGGCTGATTTGGTACCGGAGCTCCAGTGAGAACAAACAAGTGTGCCTGCTCCCACCTCTCAGAGAGCAGTGGCATCCCTGGAGAGGTGCTGTGACCCAGCCTTCGAGCATCCCCTTCTCTTCAAGCCTTCCAGATTGGTCTCCAGACCAAGGTGACCCCAGTCAGTGACCGCTGACTGGGCTATACTGGCCTCTGGTTCCAGTTCTCTTCTGCAGGATGCTGCTGCCACTCAGCCTTCAAGTGAATATAACTGAACACTGTCTCCAGGAAAATAACGTGTGACTTTTGTTTTTTTTTTCTAGGTGACAATCAAAATTCCACAGAAAAACTCCTGAAGGACAGCAGCCTCCTCATGCATTCGGAAACACCGATGCAGCTTCATGAGATACACAGCAAGGAAACCTCTTCTTAATACATACAAAACTTAGGTGGAAATATGTAACTCTGCATTAAGAAATGTTTCTTTAGAAGGTGCCTGGAGGAGCTTTTGTTAAGAAACATTACTCGGCTTTATCTTTTTACCAAATACAGTCAATTGAGTACTAATGCATTGCGTGGGTGTGCTCGTTGCGTCTGTACCTGATGAACATGCGTTTTTCTAAGAAATCGTTTAAATGCTTCAGCCTGCGGTGGGTTTTATAGTAATTCTCGCTGCCTTACGCAGCTGGGTCCATGCTCCTGGTCCTGCACGCCTGACGCGTCCCTCTCCAGAACGGTTTTTAAACACCTCCAGGGATGGCGACTCCACCACCCTCCTGGGCAGCTTGTTCCAACACTTCCCAACCCTCTCTGGAAAAAAAATTTCCCCTGGCGTAACTTGGGGCCGCGGGGGATCATGGTGTGGCCATTAGAGTAAGATTGGGGCTGGCGAGCGGGTGTGTGGGCGGCG